ATTTATAGTTTCTACTTCTTAAAGCAGTTGACAATATTCTAGTAATCTCTTGATCCATATTTGAAAAACACTACTCTAGAAACACAGAGTATTAAATTGGGTGGGGGCTGTAGGGGAAGGTGTGGATAGGGGAGGGAATCTAAATACAACTAATCCATATTGTATGAAAAGTGCAAAAATTCAATAAAATAGTAGTTTCTTTGGAAAAAGAAAATACAGAGCAATTGATTACTCACAAGACATGCCCCTGCTCCTGCACCTCCATTCCCTTCCTGAAATCACTCCATCTGATAGGGAGTTGCTCTTTTATGTCTCTGTGTATAAAACCTCCCCATTCTTCAAGTACAAGCTCAACTCTCATCTCTTTCAAAAAGCATGTTTCGGCTTTCCATTCCAAAAGCATTTTCTCCCTCTCTTCTAAAGCATATTCTCTGCACCTCTCTGTGGCAAGTTTCTGCTTTATAGACTGTCCTCTCAGCATCTTCTTTAGGATTATGGTCTTAAACACTTCGTATTCAACACATCATCCAGTGAATGCCTTATAATCAGGAAGCACTGACTAAATGTTTATTAATTTGAAATATTCATTAGTAAGGGTAAAACATGGCTCGTACACGTAATATTTTATCTTAAAGAGATTATGAAACATATGGTATATTGTAAGCATTTAGTAAAGCGTGTGAAGACAGAGGAGAAGGGTTAACCCAGGCTTCGAACTTTCCATTCCAGTTGCTGCGCATGGGGTATCTTATTAACAGGTGAGCGTAATCACTACATGCGATATAGAATTCTTGATTTTTGTGTCATGGTCTGTGGCATATGCACACAGAACGCTAAAATAGAAGGGAATGGTTCTATTTGTTCAGCCTTAGCAGAGAAACAGTTTAACTGCCATGAATGTCGCAAGCAGAGCTGCTACCAATACATCTTGTGTTCAAACAAATCATACCTGAGAATGCTTGTTATGGTCTCTTTTTCTCCAAAGAAACAAAGAACATACCAGTCTTCCCGGGCTGTTTATGGCAAAGCCCTAAACTACTGAGGTCTGATTGGTTTTGGAAAAGGAAAACATCCCAGGGACAAAATTCCCACTGGAACTCCAATTTGGACCAAAACACCACCATTACAACCATTTAAAATGGCTTTGCAGTAATCTGTCTAAGCATGACCAAACAGGACTTGTTCTTGGGACTTCAAGCATGGTTTGATATCAGAAAATCTATAATTTTCATTGCATTCACATAATGAGGGGAAAAGCTATACTAATAGATCACCAAATTCTAATGGGGTGCCTGACAAATCCGATAGCCATTTCTACTGAGATGCTAAATTAAACAGGAATAACAAAAACTAATCATCTATGCATGATACAGGTTTTACCAATATTAAATAAAATGATCAAAATAGGTAAGGCCTGGCACGGTGACCCATGCTTTTTATCCCAGCACTTGGAAAGCAGAGGGAGATGGACCTCTGTTAGCTCGAGTCTGGTCTACATAGTGGGGTCAAGGCCAGCTGGGGCTACAGGGAGACCTTCAATAATAATAAGTAATATTAAAGTTTAAAAGGTAATAAAATATTCAATCATGAAAAACCAGGTATTATTTAATATTGATTTGAAGATGATAGTTGTATAATAAGATAATATGAAATAAAAGATACCAATGTTGGGAAAAATACAAATAAGTGATTACATATAACTGAAAACATGAAAAAACCCAAGATATTATGGCATTTTTAGAAAATAAAGCACTACAATTAATAGCAGAATGTGCTAAAGGGGTTGTAAGCCAGAGGAAAATCATGTTCGTAGTTTCTTTCTGGGAACACTAATAAAGTTAGAAAGGAAAATGAGGACAACAACGTCAAAAAATTAAAATCTACAAAGCTCTATAGAACATATAATAGAAATTAAAAGAGACATTGGGGTTTGGGGTGTAGCTCAGTGTTATAGTCTTTGCCTAGTATATGCAAGGCTCTGAGTTTGATCTCCAACAACCCAACAAAATGCTAAAAGAGACTTAAGAGACACATTAACTAATTATACTGTAAAATCTTTTGCTTCCTAATCAGAACAAATTGTTGGATGGAGAAAGAGACAGAGAATAGGGGGACGCTTAAGACACTGCTTTTGCAATTCCATTTTTACACTCTATTATATAAAAATCTGTAGGAGAAAAACCTTGCAATCCCAGCACTGAGAATCTGAGAAATTTTCTTAACTCATTAGAGATCTGTTACCACAAGGGAAAAGGTACAGTGAATTCTGGTAAGTGGCAAGTCACTCCAGAGAGACAGGATACACACAAAACCAGTCTCACCTTTGCCAAACACCAGAGAAAGGAGAGGCTGCTATAGAGGCAGAAAAGAAATCACTGAGAGTTTACAGAATGTGAAAGATCAAGCGTAGGCTGTGGAGTTAGTTTAAAATCACAAGAGTCCCAGCTGCAAGGGACTGCAGAACTCCAAGTTCTGCCTCACAAGCTTTACCTGGCTGCTTTCAAGAAAGTTCCTGATGGGGAGGGAGACTTGGAGGTACAAACTTGTAGGAGGGGCTGCATCAAGCCCATTCGCCTCCCTCAACCCCTTCTCTCATATGAAACAGGTTGCAAACCTCATTCCAAGGTCCAGGTGAAAATCTATTACTGCTGTATGAGGGGCAGAGGTGAAAACCCATCTGGTCTTTTAGAGAAACTTTCTTGGGTTCAGAATCCTACATCAAGGCTAAGCAAAGGCACTGTCACTGATGGAAGTTCAAGAGCCCAGTGACAGAACTATTTTTGTGTGTCTCAGACATGCAGCAACTGCTTCATGAATGCTAAGGATAAAGCAGGAACATGTAAAATAAACAAGCAAGCAAGTAAAATAAAAGCAAACCTGCAACTTCTCATCTCCAGTTTCAGTTTACAGCCAAGTATCCCACTTCTGGAAGAATTTTAGACCTGTGGTACACTAAAGTTTATAATGGAAACAATAAAGCCCAAGCCCATCTCAACTCCTACCAAGATGAACTTAACCTACCATACTAGTGACCCAAAGAAAGAGGCATGCCCACTTCTGGATATAAATATAATTTGCCTACATATTTACCATTCTTAGCATTCAATAAGAAATTATGAGATCCACAAAAAGCAAGAAAAACCAAATCATTGTTAAGAACTAACACAATGGGGGCTGGCGAGATGGCTCAGTGGTTACGAACACTGACTGTTCTTGCAGAAGACCTGGGTTCAAATTCCAGCACCCACATGTCAGCTAACAACTGTCCATAACTCCAGTCCCAGGGGATCTGAAAGCCTCTTCTGTCTTCCACGGGCATTGCAAGATATAGGTGCACTTACCTACATGCAGGCAATACACTCATACACATAAAATAAAAATAATATTTTTTTTTAATTTTAAAAAAAGAACTAACACAATCGTCAGAACCAGAGTCAGAGGTGAAATGGATGTTGGCCAGATACAATGGAGAAGATCAACAACATGTATAAATAGATAGGTAATTTCATTGGAGAGATGAAAACCACCTAAAAAGTAAAGATAAATGCTAGAAATAAAAAGAATCAGGCATGCAGGCACACACTATAATCCCAATACTTGGCAGGCAGAGTCAGAAAGATTGTAAGTTCAAGACCAGCTTGAGTTACCTAATGAGACCCTATCTCAGAAAACAGAATTATCTCACAACGTCGGAGTTCCTTCAACTCATCAGCAAGTTGGACACAGCTAAAGAGAGAATTAGTCAACAAGAAATAAGTCAACAGAGACAATCTAAACTGAATCACACAAAGAAAAAAAAAGAATGAAACAAATCAGACCAGTGCACACAAAAGTTCTCAGGCAACACTTATACTGACGAATCATCTAACATAAAATGTTACTGGAGCCTCCGAAGAGAAAGAGAGCATGAGGGAGAAATGTTAGAAAAGATCATGATTATTTTCTAAAATTAATGAACAAGAACAAATGCAGACCCAGGAACTCAAGAGAGCTCAAAGCAAGCTTAAACACACACACACATACGCATGCATGCACACACACACACATACATATACAAAATACACACATGAATAAAATACACACAAATAATATGCACACACAAATATATGCATACACATATAAAGTGTACACAGATATAAAATATAGACACATACCTAGACATAATTAAACTGTTAAAAATCAAAAATTAAAAAGAAGATATTTAAGGTAGCCAGAGGAATAGGGCTTGGAGGAGGCACTTTATATAGAAGAATAAAGATAATGATTATAACAGAATTCATGGAAACTATGCAAGACAATGGAGTGACATCTTTAAAGTACTAAAAAAAGAAGTTATTTTTAACATTTTAAATGTGACAGTGGTGCTATGGTTATATGCAATTTCCAAACAGGTCTTGTATTTAAAGGCTCACACTGAAATACACCCAGGAATAACAAGATGGGGAGGGGTTGCATCGTAACAATCAGGAAAGGTGGTTCTCTTTGTGGATGGAAGAAAAAGATAAAAGGAAGGGGGCATGACGGCACTTGCCCAGTATTCAGGAAGTAATGACAGGAAGATGACGAGTTCAAAGCCAGCCTGGGTAGTAAAACCCTGCTGCAAAATAAAATTGAAAAGCTCTAGAGTTGTAGCTTAGTGGTTGAGCACTTTCCAAGTGCATGAAAAACCCCAAGTTCAGTCCCCAATTTTGTAAAGTAAAATTGATAATAATGATGAAAGGATTGACCATGAATTGATGATAGCTGAAATCAGATGGTAAGCTTAATATGATATGCTGTTTACTCTTATGAATTTTTATCTCATAATAGGAAAAATTTAAATATTTTTTAAGATGGCCGGAAGAGGTAGATGTGTCATGGCACATACCCTACCCAGATTCTCTGATTCTGGCCTCTTAGTAACTCTTCCTCCAATCTTTGATGCACAGAAGAGTTACAGTTCTCCAAAATGGGTTCATAGAGCTGCAGCCACCCTCCCCAGTAACATCAGCACAGCCTACCAGTGCCGAAGCTCTCCTCTCCACACAGAGAGCACCGTCCGGAGTCCATCAGATTTGAGAAGAATCTCCATCCAGCAGGAGTCTCATATACGGGGACCTTCATTGATTTAGCCACTCTGGAAAATGAAATTAGAGGCAACCATCAATTCATATGCCTTATTTCCTTTTTCTTCTCAGCACAGTAGGAAGTCTTATGGCTATTCATTCCATAAATAGATTTCAGAATAGCTTAGACAGGTGATAGTTTTCAAGCATAAGTTAGGAAATAAGTACCATATTCCAATGGCTCTTAATTTCTCATTGTCTATGATATAAAAATATCAAGTGCATGTATGAATTATTCTCACATTGGTTTCCCTATTTTTTTTTGCAAGAATCTATTTGGAAACAGGAAAGCCCAAAATTAATATTTTAGCATAAACATTTGGAAGTATCGTTCAACAGTTGTCTACTAAATATGAAGTTGCCCATATCCCTTGGAACATAAATTCAACTCTAGAAATGACATGAGGTAGACACTGTAGTACACTATTCAGAGTTAACCTTCAATACACATGCGCATGTACAAACATGCATGCACATGCATGTACAGATGCACACAAGATATTTTACAGCTGGTTTAGTCAGCATCTAGGAGTGCTTTTGGTTGCCAGCTCACAAATATGGTTCTCTGTCAATAAGAGATGTCTCACTTAAAGTCTCATTCCTAGATCTACCCATCCAGTGATGGACCAGTGTGGGATATTCAAAGATCTGACCTCCTTCTTCAGTTTGGTTCAATTTGGTACAATTCTATGGGGACATTTAAGCTCTAAAGCTCCCTGATTGTTGGCTGGGCCTTTTGTGTGTCTTCAGTGCAATCAGAATTGTCTGATCTTTTCTCACCATCCTTTTACTATAGTTTGGAAATGGCTCATGCCTTAAAGGCCCACATTTTAAGACTTGGTCCTCAACTGGGCACTAATTGGAAGGTAGAGAAAACCTTTAAGAGGTGGAGCTTAGTATGAGATTTGGGATCACTGGGGTCATGCCCTCCAAAGGACTTCTCTCTGTTTTACTTCCCAGCTACCATGAAGTAAGCAATTTTTTGAATCATGTGCTCCCACATGATGGGCTCACCGCAGGCCCATAGGCAACATGGTTCAGTAGCCATGGACTAAAACCCCCAAAACCAAAATAACCTCTCCTCTTTTTAAATTGATATGCACAGATATTTTGTTATAGTAATGGAAAGCTGACTGACATAGTGCTGATCTTGAAGGTAATTCTGATCTTTAAGGTAGAAAGTATTAAACTTCCTACAAGCAAACTTCTCTTAAAGCTATTTCCTGGGGAGCCCAGTATGTGATGTTACTCAACAGACTGTAAACACGAGATTTGGCAATTTTGATTCTGAATCATCACTTACAATAACTGAAACAATCCAAATAAATCTCTAAGGAGAATAGAAAATTTACAACATTTCTATAGCTAATCTTGTCAACTTAATTGGATTGAGAGATACCTAGATCAATTAATCATACCTTTAGGTAGGTTGTGAGGGTATTTCCAAAGATGTTTAGGTCATGGGGGGTGTGACCTAGTCAATGATTCCATTTATTGATGGATACAAATTTTGAGTAGACTATTTAGAGGTAGCAGAACTGTGGACTATGAAGCCTAGCTGGGGGAAGTGGATCACTTGGGTCATGCCTTTGTGGACCATGGCATGCCCTGGACGTCTTCCTGTTACTTCTGTTTCCTGGCCACCACAAAGTGAGCTACCACTGCCACATGCTCCTGCTGCCATGACGTTCTGCCTCACTTCAGGCCCAAACAATGGCTCTAGGCAACTTGAGCCAAAACTTTTGAGACCATAAAACTGTATAAACATCTCCTTATTTCCAATTATTTTCTGATTCTGTCACAGTGACGAGAAGCCCGCTAACACAGATACATAATCACCATCGAACAAATAACTGCTTCATGAAACACCCTGAATGAATCTCACCAGCATTCAAAGAACAGGGAGCCCCCCACAAAAGAACATATGGCATATTGTTGTGTAATACTTATTTAGGTGATCATTCCCATCAAAGGTTCTATCTTATCTTCTTTTCAGTGTTGTAAGGAAAATATATAATCCAGCTTACATTCTGGGAGGAATAATGGAAGAACCTCTCCAAAACCTTTGGAGCAAAGGGGACTTTTCAGAGCTGCTAATTTCATGTTCAAAAACTCAGGGAGGGAGAAATAAATCACAGAGAAGCCCAGGGGTGGTGCATAGGAAAGCCTGGGTCACAACTAACAAATGTGACTGCGTGAGAGTGCCAGATAGAATATACAACATGGGGCAGAGGTGAGGGTGAAAGCGAGGGGAGCCGGCGTGGGGACATACAACCTTTGTTCAAAATACTCTTGTAGGTTCAAAGCCAAGTTGGCAGGATTGAAGGGAGGGGAAAGGATTTCCCCCGTTCCCACCCTTCCCAGTTGATCACTGTCAGGAGGGCACTGGGCTGTTCCTGTGGCTAGAGTGTAAAGAACTTTTGTAGCTGTAAGCCACAGTTACAGCTATGCAAGCTAAGATAACAATATGGGTAATTAAATTCCAGGATCCTGAGCTTGAGTTGATTGTGTCCTAGGGTCAGAAAGGAATTCCCGTCCCCCCTTCCTCTCCTGAACTTGAGATCCATCCCAAGCCCTTCATTCAGCAGTATCATGTATGCATTAGCCTGCAGGTTGGCAGGAAGCCCCTGGAGTCTACAATCCTCTAATACAAAAGCTGAAAACTCTACCTGACCACTGCCACCATGTGCCAGGAGCTAACGGGACCCTCTTCCCAAGGAAGGACAGAACAGGAAGTAAAGGAAGACGATCTGGGCTGTGATTGTCCTGCCAGGAAGAATGAGCCCTGGTAGCTAAAAGAGCATGCTGTGTGTGAGCCAGCTCCTCAGCCGAGGTCTGCAGACTTCCAAAAAGGTGGCTTCCAGATGATTCAGGAGGGACGTGACCTCAAAATCACTTTACAACAGTTTCTTCCATACTCTGTGTTCTCTGCTCCTAGAAGCCTGGGCTCTTCCCTCTTTCCCACAGATGCTCTTGCTGGTTGTTATTGCTGTATATTGCTTAGTCCTTTTCTTGGTTTTAAACTTTTCATTTTTATTTTATTGCCTGCATGTATGTAAGTGCACCCATGTCCTGAAATGCCCGAAGAAGTCAGAAGAGGGTGTTGGATTCCCCTGAAACTGGAGTTACAGACTATTATTAGCCAACATGCAGGTGCTGGGAGTTGAACCCAGGTTCTTCAAGAACAGTTAGTGCTGTTAACTGCTGAGTCATCTTTCCAGCCCCTGTTTGCTTCTTCATTTAACTCAGATGAACCCTCCCTTTCCAGTCTTTGTCAAAACTTATCTTAAAGGATATGTCTGCCTTGGTATATTTTCTCATGCTAAAATAGAATGTTTGAGACTGTGTGATTTCTAGAGAATAAAAGTTAGTTCTCACAGTTCTGGAGACTGGAGGCCAAGATCAAGGTGCCCACATTTGGCCAGGTGAGGAAGTTTTCATTATGTCCTCACATGGCAAAAAATGGAAAAGCAAACTTGTCATCTGTTCCATGAAGCATCTTATTCTTCATAAGGGTTATAATTCTATTAGCAATGAAGGTGACCTCGTGGCTTAATCGTCTCTTCAAAGCTCCATCTTTTAATCTTATCACACTTTTAACACCTCAGTTTCAGAGGGGATTAACCTTCAATATGGATTGTGGAAGGGACAAAAGCATTCAAACCATAGGGCAGCCAGCAGCAAAGACTTCCAGGTGGTCACCAATCCCAACCCCATCTTCTGAGATACACAAGGCTGTTTCCCCACAGCCCCCAGAAGTAAGCTGTGGCCATGTGACTTCATTCCAGCTGGAGGAACCCCTCTTCAAGTCTGGCTGTAAAAGGTTCCTGCACTTCGTGTTCTTTCTCCTTGTGCTGGCTTGACATAGAGGAGCCTGGCAATCTTAGAAGCCATGTGTTGGAGACATATGACCCACAGGATGACCTGACCTGCATCTCTGAATCCCCATTTTCAGGAGAGTTAACTACCAGCCAGAAAAACCTGTCTTTAACTTTGATACCTGAAATGACCTTTTTCTGTGTTTGGGTCATTGCCCATCCAGAGGTTCATTCTGTAATAGCAAGAACACCATCTAAATGAACACAAATCCCTTACTTATCACTGCATTCAATCCAATGTGACACTTCATGCCACTATCCACTTCCTAACATTTGGTGTGAGCCATATGTTCACTATAGCATTGTGCCTGCCGTGGACCTCCTTTGCACTTGGCCCTTCACACACAGACATCATCACTGCCACCAGTAGGGTACAAGTTCTTTGTATCTTCTATGTCACTATGGATCCTTTAGTGCCGAAGACCCTATAGGATTTGTCCTCAGTAAATATTGTATGATTTCAGTTGACTAAGAATTATCAGTAGCAGTGTTATCGAATAATAAGGGGCTAAGTGTATCTTATTTTATTGTCTTTTTTCCATGTAGCTTCCAAAAATATAATTAAATCATCTCTCTCTCTCTCTCTCTCTCTCTCTCTCTCTCTCTCTGTGTGTGTGTGTGTGTGTGTGTGTGTGTGTGTGTGTGTGCTTTGTCTTTTTGAGAAAAGATAATTTTCCAGATATCAATTAGTGAAACTACTGGGGTGAGACACAGGCATATCTTTGAAGGGCAATAGTATACACTATTTTGTTTGAGCAGTCTGATGGTCACACTGCTCTTGCATGATCAGACAGGAAAAAAGCATTTTAAATGTGCCTTGAGAGCCCATTAAGTGTAGGGATGCTGGCATGTCCATATTTGTGGCCCTAGCATCCAGCCCAGCTCATGCCCAGAGTACGTTTTCAACTATTTACTAACCCAAAGTACTGTCTTTATGTGTGGGTGCTAGTGTATCATACTGATGGCATTTGAACAATTCTTTCAATCTGTAAGAGAATAATTAAACACTGACTGTTCTCATCAAGGTTCTCAGGCCTACCCAGCTGATTTTGTAATCCCACTTCAAGAAAGTTGTAATAAATTTAAAGGGGACAGAATCCCAGGCTCTCTTTGTATCTTCAAATGCCACCTTC